TGCACCCCACACCATGCACCGTGCATCACATGCCAGGCACTATGCACCCCACACCATGCACCATGCACTGTGCACCATGCACTGTGCACCCCACACCATGCACTGGGCACCRGGCATCACATGCCAGGCACTCTGCACCACGTACCGTRCACCATGCACTGTGCACCATGCACCCCACACCGTGCACCAGGCACCGGGCATCACACACCATGCACTGTGCACCATGCACCAGGCACCACGCACCACATGCCATGCAACCCACACCACGCACCCTGCACTGTGCATCACATACCATGCACCATGCATGGTGCATCACACGCCAGGCACTGTGCACCACGTGCCGTGCACCAGGCACCATGCACTGTGCACCACACACCATGCACCATGCACCCTGCACCATGCACCGTGCATCACATGCCAGGCGCTGTGCACCACGTGCCGTGCACCAGGCACCAGGCACTGTGCACCCTACACAATGCACCATGCATCATATACCATGCACTGTGCACCATGCACTGTGCATCACATACCATGCACTGTGCACCCCACACCATGCACCATGCACTGTGCACCACATACCATGCACTGCACCACGTGCTTTGTACCCCACACCATGCACCCGGCACTGCACCATGCACCATGCACTGTGCATCACATACCATGTACCGTGCACCATGTACCGTGTTCTCCACCCCATGCACCGTGCAGCACACAGTGCGCATCACGTACCTACCATGCACCGTGCACCCCACACCATGCACCGTGCACCACATGCTGTGCACCCTGCACCACACACCATGCAGCACACACTGTGCACCATGCACCATACACCCCACACTGCGCTCCATGCACCCCACGCAGTGCTCCCCATGCACCATGCACCACACACTATGCACCACATCCCATGCATTGTGCACCATGCACCATACACCCCACACTGCGCACCCTGCACCGCACTACATGCACCTCACGCAGTGCTCCCCATGCACCACACACTATGCACCACATCCCGTGCATTGTGCACCATGCACCGTACACCCCGCACTGCGCACCCTGCACTGTACTCGGTGCACCCCACGCAGTGCTCCCCATGCACCATGCACCACACACCACATCCCGTGCAGTGTGCACCATGCACCGTACACCCCACACTGCGCACCCTGCACCGCACCCCATGCACCCCACGCAGTGCTCCCCATGCACCACACACTATGCACCACATCCCATGCATTGTGCACCATGCACCGTACACCCCGCACTGTGCACCCTGCACCGCACTCCGTGCACCCCACGCAGTGCTCCCCATGCACTACACACTATGCACCACATCCCGTGCATTGTGCACCATGCACCGTACACCCCACACTGCGCACCCTGCACCGCACTCTGTGCACCCCACGCAGCGCTCCCCATGCACCACACACGCTCCCCATGCACCGCTCCCACCTCGCGCACGCAGAGGCGGGGGCAGACCCCGGCACCCTGCACCCTATGGAGGCGATCCCATGTCCTGTGCACCCGGACTCTCCTTCCTCGTGGCCCTTCTCCTCCTCCGGGCTTTCCCGGCCGCCCCGCGCCCTGCAGTAACGTCCCCTCTCTCTGTCAGACCTCCCGTTGCAGCGC